CAGTCAGATCAATCTCAGCAGAATGGAGGGGCAAAAGCCAAATTGAAGAGGTTCGAGAAGTTAGTTTGAATTGAAAAAGCATGTCAGACGGCTACTGACAAGTCGTTACAGAAGGTTTGAGGAAAGGGAGTAGAGATATGAGATGATGGATGAGGAAGACGGGTCAAGACATGGCTTTATTTAAGATGGGTACAACAGTAGCATTTTTTTTTTTTTAGAAGAGTGGGAATGATGCTAAAAGAAACAGAGCAGTTAAATATATGCATTAAAGATGTCACAAGGCAAGGGTAGAGAGATGTGATAACTTAAAGGACCACTATAGTGCCAGGAAAACATACTCGTTTTCCTGGCACTATAGTGCCCTGAGGGTGTCCCCACCCTCAGGGCCACCCTCCCGCCGGGCTATAGGGTGAGGAAGGGGTTAAATTTACCTCTTTCTCCAGCGCCGGGTGGGGGACTTTCCTCCTCCTCTCCTCCTCCTCGGCTGAATACGCATGTGCGGCAGGAGCCGTGCGCGCATTCAGCCAGTCCATAGGAAAGCATTAACAATGCTTTCCTATGGAAACTGGCGTCTTCTCACTGTGAAAATCACAGTGAGAAGTGCGGAAGCGCCTCTAGCAGCTGTCAATGAGACAGCCACTAGAGGCTGAATTAACCCTATTATAATTATATTCTATGTTTAAAGAAAAAAGGGTTAACCCTAGCTGGACCAGGCATCCAGGCCACTTCATTAAGCTGAAGTGGTCTGGGTGCCTATAGTGGTCCTTTAACAGGGAATGGGATCAAGGTGATAAGTACTGGGGCAAGAGAAAGAAAGAAGCAGTCATCTCCTGTTCAGTAAACGGGTAGACCAGAAGGGTAGGAGAAGCACAGTCCAAGTCAGCTTGAGAGAAATAAAGAGGAGTGAAGGGAGAGAATTATTTTCTTAACTAATTGTGTCAAATAGTAAAAGTGAATTCAAAGTTATCATCTGTAAAGTTGGTACGTGGAGTGTCCACATGGGGGCAAAGTAGAGAGCTGAAGGTATCAAATAGATGGTTGGGATTGTGAGAGTATACACTAATGAGGGAGGAAATGTAATGATTATTTAGCAAGAATGAGGGCTGTGCTGTATGAGCATTGCATGAATTTGTAATGGAGACTTCCTCCACAGCGTTAATTGAATCCTAATTGGGGCAAACTGACACTAAACTAGTGAATATAGAGCTTGATCCTATATCATAGGGAAAACCTAGTTAACAATTAATGACTGGTGTTATCTGATATTTTTTAAAACAAATTTTAACTCTGGATTTAATGCCAGTTGAAATTCTATTTCATAAACACATTCAATGGGTTGGCAACTCAAGAAAATTTCTTATAAATGTGCTTTGGAGGCACATTTATCTGGCTTTTTTTTTTTTTAAACAAATAAATAAAAATGTACGGAGGGGCAAAATGATCCCCATATTGGTAGGAGGTCTGAAACTTCCCCTATTTCTCCACTTGCCATGCCTGCCACTGGCTGCTCACTTTGAGATAAGACTAGTTACTGGTGAACTATTGCCCAGTTGCTAGTAATTTACATGGGGAAGGGAGCTGGTACATTGGCATTGTGTCGGGGCTTCAATTTAAAACATGAGGGATAGACAGATTACTGTCTACCCTCCATTGCCCCCATGGTGGGGCTAAAGTTTTATTTTTATTTTGGCAATTTTCAAGCAGACTTTTTTTTTTGTCAAGAATAACAAAAAGGAAACATGGAAGTATACATATACATAGACAAGTATACATTTAAATAACCGAGCGAAAAATAAAAACAAGAGATACAAAACAGTATTAAACCAAAATCACATTACAAGGCATAGCAACACAGTATTCATGCCAAATCCAATCTTAGTAGAGATACTTAGATTGTCATCCACTTATGACCCAGAAAAAAAGGTGATGAAGGGGTTGCGGAAGGGAGAGTAGGGAAATGGGAGAAGGAGATGATAAGAGCACTAGTGACCCACACAGTCAAACAAAGGTCACAATGCCAGCCACCTGAAACCAGCTAAGTGGGAGGCCCCAAAATTTTCCTGCAGAAACCTCTGCAACTGTTTCGCAGCCATGATACCAAATCTCCAAATACTTAGCTGATCAGTCTCATAATGCAGCATTTCCTCCATAGTTGTAATTTATTCAACATACTCTAACCATTACTTAAAAGTCAGAGCAATGCACTACTTCCAGAGGTCAGGTACCAGGGATTTGCCCCTGTCAATAAATGCTTGGATAAGGACTTTTTTTTATTTTTTATAATTCTTTATTTTGTGTGTGCAAGATATAACAAACGAGCCGTGTTGGCTAAGGACTTTACTTTTTATATTTGAATATTGGTGAAATATCCTCAGCAACCTGGGTTAGGGTAGCATAAACCTATTTCAATAGGGTATATCAGTACTTTGCAATACCACTACATGTGGAGCATGATACTGTGAAGACATATATGCAGTCAAGAAACAAAAAACAGCATGCCATCTGCAATACCAACAACTTTGTGTTCCACTGTCTGTGTTGAAAACATCTTAATGTTGGGATTGGTACAAATAGCTTGTATGAAAGGCTCCAGACAAAGCATAAAAGTTGGTCCATGAGCACAGTGTGGACCCTTATCTGTGCCATTGGGCAAGTATATAATGTCTTGCGTAATGCTGAGTGCATAAAGTTCTATCACCCGGTCATATACATTCTCCACATCAGTAGAGAATGTAGTGATTGTGCAGTGGGGATTATTTTAGGTAATCTGATAGTATTATCTTTGCCTCTATACTGGGGACAAAGTCACTCTGATCTGAGCAAACTAGCAGCGGAAGCACAGGAGTAAGTTGTGAGGACAGCATTTTAGTGTACAGTTTACATGAGATTGGCCTATTGTCACGGGTGGCGGTCTGGAGACCGGGACACCTGTATGCCTGAAGATGGTAGGAGTCATAGAATGGAAATTAACAATCAGGGCCTGGTGCAGGGTAAAACACACACCGTGGTGTTAAGCACCAGGGTTTGTGCGACCACATACCAGGGCCCTGATGCAGCTTCTGCGGTTCCCAGGAGCTTGATACTATGCAGATATGAATCCAGTACTAGAATCAAGGCAAGACTAGAATAGGCACCAAAAAAGATAACAAGACTAGTCAAGAAGAACCCAGAATCAGAGCAGGACAGAAAGCAGAACCCAGAACATGTACATAAGACATAAGGGAAACAAGAACAGGACATGGACAGTACAGGACTGTACGTGAACTGGGAATACAAGACAAGAAATACAAGGCAAAACAAGAGGAGAAATAACCAAGTACTATATATGTAATAAGCATTGGTGATTTAGACATACATAATGGCCAAGATGTATGCAGCCCACCACTGCACCAAAGTACTCCAATTACGGGGGGTCCTAACTGCCTAGATATGCATGACTAAAAGTACAACAATAAAACACACTCTTAGGGACACTGAGCAATTTGGGGACACTAAGACACTAGGGACACAGAGAGACAAAGGAACACAGACACTGGGAGACATGGGGACACTGAGACACTTGGGAACACTGGGAGACAGTGTCTCCCTGCTGCCTTTCCCCCCATCCTTAACTTACCTGAGCTGAAGAGCTAGTGTCTGGACTCTCTGTGCTGTGTATCTGCTCCCCCACAGATCAGTGAGTAGAGAGAGGCAGGGATATGCTGCAACTTCCTATCCCTGCCTCTCCCCACACACAGTAACCTCTTCTGGCCGGTGCTGGTATTGCAGAGTAATCTCAGTTTATACTGAGAAAAATATCTGCATTTGTATTGCCGGTATTGCTGCAATACCAGCACAGCCAGGCAGCCTCAAATACCAATACCAATAAAATACCAGTCAGGAGGCAAACCTAAGAGTAGTGTGTAAATTGGCCTATTCCTTGGGCATGGGCATGGACCTGCAGCTTAATCAGCCCCTATGTTAATCCGCCTTGTACTTACCTGCAAAGAAAGGAGCAGAGGAATGAAACCACTGCTAGCAGGAACACACTGAAACAAAAAGGGATAAATGGCAAAGGAACGGGTGTGGAAACAAAAAACAAACAGTTAAAGAAATTCAAGAGACTGGCAATTCCTGGAACAGAATAAAGGAATGAACCCAGAAAACCCAGCATAAAGAAAACCAGACATATAACAGAGAACCAGAAAAACATAAACGGTCCAAGGCAACATTTAAG